ACCAGGAGGGAGACAATTCAAGGAGTTTGGTGGCTTGGGAGGTTGTATCGAGAAGCAAGGAAAAGTATTAGGAATTTGAAGAAGAAGAACATGGCTCTACTAGGAAAATGGCTTTGGAGATTTCCAATGGAACAAAATTCTTTGTGGGCTAAAGTTGTTATTAGTAAATATGGGCTACAAGCAAATGGCTGGGACTCGAACCTTGTAACTGGGGATCTTTTAGAAATCCATCTCTCAGGGGTTGGGTATCTGCCTTCAAAACACTAAAATGAGAGTTGGGAATGGGATTAAAATATTGTTTTGGAAAGACAGATGGTGTGAAAATGAGTCTTTGCAAGTTTTATTTCCCCGTCTTTTTAGAATCTCGGATCTTCCTAATGCTTCAGTAGCACAAGTTCGCTTACTATCCGATAATGGTGATCAGAATTCAAATCTTGGTTTTAGAAGAGGTCTTGACGATAGAGAAACAGAGGATTTGACTTCTTTACTTCAATTAAACAATTCATGTCCTCTTCAGCCAACTAATTCTGATCAGAGAGTTTGGTTGTGTTATTCTAAGGGTTTCTCATGCCAATCTTTCTTTGCTGCTCTAGTAAACATGCCTGATATTTTTAATTTTTAATCCTTCAAATTCATTTGGAAGTCTAGTGTCCCCCATAGAATTAAAGTTTTCGCTTGGTTGGTTGCGCTTGGGAAATTAAATACTTGTGGCTTGGTGCATAAGCGAAACCCCCATAGGGCTCTATCCCCTTCTTGGTGTGTTCTCTGTAGGGCGAGTGATGAATCCATTGATCAATTATTGTTGCATTGTCCCGGTCTGGCAGAAATTCATATTAGAAGTTGGAGTCTTCAGGGTGTTCCCGGCTCACTATAGCTCGGTTTTGAAGGAGTTGACAGGCGTGTAACTAAATAAAATAGCTAGAGTGCTATGGAAATGCATGGTGTTGTAGGTTATTTGGACTTTATGGTCGGAAAGGAATGCTAGAATCTTTGAAGAAAGAGAGACGGATATCAATGATCTTTATGAGAAAGTTCACAGCATCCCTTTGGGCATCTTCTGACAAAACCTTTAAGAATTTTCAATTTTCCTTTTACTTTGCTTGTTTTGAATTGGAAAGATGTGATTGGCTTCTAATTTGGAATCATGTTTGGTTTTAAATACGTTTTTGTTTCTCTAGTGTCCTAGGAAGAGGATACCTTATCCTCTTTTCTCTTGTATTCTACATATTTAATTTTATCAGTAAATTCTTTTTTCTTATCAAAAAGATCATCTTCCACCGTTGAAGACCCATTGTGCAGTCTAGATGAGCTAATAATAGCTTCTGTCTATATCAAACAAGATCTAGGCAACAACATCAAGAGCAAATAAGTAGCCTAGCATCAACAAGATGCATGACACGCTTCTAAAAATCAAATATAATATATATACATATATATATACACATGTATGTGTATGTACATAAATAGCCTATGTATAATCATGTTACTAGAATATAATAATAACTCCTTAAATTAAGAATGGGCTGAGGTTATTAGAAAGATATTGATCTACACTCCAATTAACAAGCCAATTCCACAATTCTAAGTTCATTTGGATACCAGATATGAGCAGAATAAAAGTGCGATTAACTATGGGAACCATGTTTAGGTGCACTGCAATAAAAGGAAAGATACTACATCGATAGTCACAATGAATATGCACCGATTTACTATAGCATCATATAGAAACATGATACGCAAAAACCACAGAAGCATCAGAGAGGATAACATCAATAATGTCACTAGGATAAGTGCATTTTATAGCCGTTTATAAAGTAAATAAGCACCAAGAAATTGAGAAGATAATTCTGAAGTTGATCCACATCATTTTTAAAAGCAGTGAGCAGCTAATATACAATGGAGGTATACATGGATGCTTAGCAAACAAACAACTTGTTGAAGTCAAATTCTGTCTCCAACTCCAAAACTCAGAGTTCTCAAGAATTATCTCTCCAAATTCTCAAGAACTGATCTTTTTCTCTCACTAATTTCTAGTAAGAATTTCTCAAATGGCCCAAAAAAGATCCCTTTCTCGTAGGGGTACATTTTTTCATAGGTTTTCAATCCTTGTTTTGAACTTCCTTTACTAAAGATTTGTACACGTCAGCTTCTAAGTTCCTGACCTGAAGATCTTTTCCTTCAGTAAAATTTTTGTGCGGTCTAATCTTCCGTGTGACTAAATCTTCTGCAGGGCCTTTTGTACTTTTCCTACTTTTATTAAAACGTCGTCGTTTTCTATTAAGCCACACTTCTAAACCATCCAAGAAGAAGCAAAAGGTCTCTGAAGATACTTCCCAGGGGTTTTCTCGACCTCCAACAATTGATTCACATTCTTGCCAAGGGTCTTAAGAACTTCCGCCTGTTAGTTCCCAAATTCTTTCCCCAATTATTTTTCAGCCTCTTTTGTCTACTCCAGTTGTACAGAGCTTATCACAATCTCCTATTCTTCCATCCAACCCGTTCCTTGCTACTCCAGATGCTCCACAGCCTATTTTTGCTTCCATAGTTACACCACTTAATCCCCAAATAAATGGTTTGATTCAATTTTTAATATTGATTCTCAACCATTCCCAACTTCCTCTATTGTTAGTGAAGACATTAATCCTGTGAGCGGCATTAACCCTTCCTTTAATCGAAAGGCCATTTTTACTACATCAAACCGTTACATTCCTTCATCCCCCAAAAGTGAATCTGCTCCAACTTCTTCTAGTGTTAGAAGGGAATTGGCTCTTCCCACAACCTCCATGTCTTCAAGTTCAGCTCCAGTCGCTGATTTTTCTTCCGGTCCTCTTCTTCAAGCAAATTTCGTCAATTAAATGCTTTCCGATCTTTAATTTTACATCATTCTCTCATCTTACCCCTGTACTTATATTTGGATTTACGCTTCACTCTCATTTCAGCTTCATTCTCAATTTGATGTTATCATGCTTACAGCTGCCTTCAAGATCCATTCTTTGGAAAAAGAACTCACGGAAGCCAATTTTAGATTGGAACCTGCAAAGTATCATCTTCATGAAGCTGAAGCTACTATCCTGAAGTTGCAATCACTATTAGATGCCAATTCGGACAAATTCAGCAAAGAAACTTCCCAGTTGAAGTCAACTCTAACTGATTATCAGAAGGAAAATGATGATTTGCAGAGTACGGCCACAGAGCTTTCCGCTCGTGAAAGTGCATTGAAAGAAATGTTGGCTTCGAATAATGAAGAAATTGGCACTTTAAGAATTCAACTGAGCGAAGTTTTACTCAAAGAATCTATTTCTCACAAGAAAGAAGAAATTTCCAACTGCAGGGTTCAAGAGTTAACCATCATTATCCGCGATCTTGAAGAGGAAATGCCTACCTCTTCCTCTGATTCGACTGCACTAGGCCAATTATCTGCAGAGAATGCTCAGCTTCAAGTTGACGTTTCTGAACTGCAGCGAACTCAGGCAAGCACAGCTTTGGGCTACTTCATTTATGGCTTGGCTCAAGGTTCCCTTTCAGTTGATAGAGAGAAGTTAAAGATGGCAACGATCATTCTGCACTTCTTGGTCTTCCGTTGGACTCAGTTGATGTTGCCAACCTAATCTTTCTGCATAAGAAATAGATTTTGACTTCTGTCTAATTTTCTATCATATAGCCTCAACTTTATTTTGTTCTTGTCTTTGTAAATTTTGAACTATTTCTTTTGAATTTCAGAATTTGTTTGCTTTTATTCCAATGAATGCGCAATTCTATATGTCTTTGCACTTTCTTTTTGTATATTTTGCCAGATTTTGAATTTTGCTAACGTTCTTCTCATTTCATAATCTAAATTCTGAATGAACTTAAACTAACAAAATTCTTACACGCTATAGTTCACATCCTTTAAACTTGAACCATAAAAATGAGCTTAGAATTTTCTAGGACAAATCATCTATTTGAGCTTTCAATGCTCCAAAGGGAACTTTTGAGTTCTTCAAAGCTTCATGCCAGTCATTTTCCATTTAGACTTTATTTAACAATTCTCATTTGAAGCTTTTATTTTTGCTTCCGACTGAAACTTTTCGTTCGAACATTTTTCATTTGAATCATCACATATTAAGTTTTCCAATCTTATTCTCATTCGACCTTTCTCATTCAGATATTCTCATCCGGCCTTTCCCACTAGGAACTTTACTCAAACTTCCCAGTGAGATTTTCACTCAGTCAATTCCCACTCGGGCTATCTTGTCTGGGCTATCTCACTAGGAACTTTACTCAAACTTCCCAATGAGAATTTCGTTCGGTCAATTCTCACTCAGGCCTTTCTCATTCGGATATTCTCATCCGGCCTTTCCCACTAGGAATGTTACTCAAACTTCCCAGTGAGATTTTCATCCAGTCAATTCCCACTCAAACTTCCCAGTGACATTTTCCTTCGCGCTTTTTATTCGGAATTTCTCGCTGGGAACATAATCTTAAGTTTCCCAATAAGGCTTCCATTCAGGCCTTCTCCCATTCGGGCTTTTCATTTGTGCCTTCTTGTTGGGAACTTTATATTTGGTTCCCCTTTACTTTTACAACTTCTAACTTTCCTTCTCAATGTCATTTTCTAATTCTCTCTCTCTCTCTCTCTAATTTCTAGTAAGAATTTCTCAAATGGCTAGAAAAGACCCCTTTCTATAGGGGTACAGGTATTTATAGGTTTTCAATCCTTATTCTAAACTTCCTTTACTAAAGATTCGTCCACGTCAGCTTCTAAATTCCTGACCTGAAGATCTTTTCCTTTAGTAAAACTTTCGTGCAGTCTAATCTTCTGCAGGGCCTTTGTACTTTTCCTACTTTTATTAAAACGTCGTCGTTTTCCATTAAGCCAAACAACTTCGTTTTGTCTTGATTCATTCTTCATCCCCACACATCTTGAATTCTGAAACCTAGAAAACTAAGCTATTCATCGTTCTGTCATTGCATTATGTACTTACAACATCAAAATTGCATGGCACAAGAAGCAGACATACCTTTTCTCCCACTTTCTCCTGTTGTTCCTTCACTTTCTCTTGTAATTTCTTTAATCTCATGTTCACCCTTAATCGCTTTTCCTGTTTGTATCAAGAGAGACCAAAATAAGTTCCTTTCACATGTGCAAATAACTCAATTGAAAAGAGAACCAACAACACAAATCATTTTGTCAGAAACTAAGACGAAAGAAAATAACATGGAAATGAGATCATGCCTTCACATAGCTAACACCAAGCTCTTTCCTTGTGTATCCACGATCCAAGTTTCTCATAACATACTGGTTATAATCTTTTACTATTCTCATTATAATGTCTGATGTAGAAATCCCTTCTGTTCGTTTCGTTTCCTTAAACTTCCCGATCTTTTTAACCTACAACAATTGTTTGGGTAAGTAATTACCCTTAAAGGATAAAATAAATAAAGAAAAGAGAACGAAGAAGAAAGCTATGTAGAAAACATACAAATTCATAAACATCGTTTGCAGCTCCACTGGCATCCGCATAACTGTAGAATCCATCAAAGATTATTCAATCTCTAAATGCTTAGTCATTTGATAGCATCATATAATGAACAAACAGAATAACTATAAAATCTATCTACAATGCTTTTATACATGTATAACACTTAAGATAAGCCATATCTTTTCAATATACAAAACACCAAACAAAATAAATTAAATAGACTATTCTATCATCATCTTGAACTATTCCATTCACCAAAAACATATAGCAACTCTTAGGCCCAAGTACGGAAATCTGAGTTCATTATCCTTACGGAAGTGAGTCATGAGCCACATAGTCAATATTGTGCTTATCAAGAAATTCTTGTGAGATCACCCAAGGTGCATCAGGAATGACTTCATCCACCCATCTGCACAACAAAAACAAGAAGACCCACTTTCCCCATTACACAAATAGGCAAATGACATTCCTTAATACACAATGCCTCTGCCAAATGACACGACACTTTTTAACAAATGAAAATCAAATTAGAGGAAAAGGATCACACTTGCAATGACGGAGAGATTCATAACGTTCAGACTCGGTCATAACAGTTTTTCCTTTATACTTGTGCGTGGTTTCATCATTGCAACATCCAACAAGCAGATAGGTATTAAGGAATCTGAATCCACAAGTAGATCAATAAAAGATTAGTGCATGTAAGCAGATTACAGTAAATATCGCTACTTTTCTAGAAAATCCTATTTAATCCTCTGCCATTATATTTAGGATTCAGTGCAACATAGAGGATTTAAATGCCACAATTTGCAAAACTGGCTAAATAAAGTATTAGGACGAAAATAAAAGAGTTAATACTACAGGCCAAATTCCATTTCGATATTGACTTTTAAACCGTCCAATAACGAGTCTCTAATCTATCAAATTACCCAAAATTAGTAATTCTCTCCATCCGACTCTCAAAGTCTTGAAAAAAAATAAAAATAAAAAGGTACGTGAGGATCACAATTTAGTGTTGTAAGGTTGCATGTCCTGTCACGAGGGTTTAGAAGAAAATCGTGCATTTTTCTGTTGACATTTTAACAATGGATGGATGAAAGAACTAATTTGGTACAATCTGATAAATATTTGGTATATAGTTCGGGGACTAAATATGAGTTTAACCCAAAACAAAAATGTGCTCAAAGTTACAAAAACAGTTTTCTTTATATTGGGTACTGATAAAGAGACGGAAAAAAAAAAGTAATAACAAAGAAATAACAATTATGTAAATAGATAGTCCAACAATCAAATTACGATTGAAATAACAAACACAGAGAAGAAATTCCATAGAAATAGAAGATTAAACACTACATCCAATAATTCTCGGAATCAAAACTAATAACGTGTTAATCAATATTGTTCCTATAAGATTAAGGACAAAACCGATCCATGAATTACAGAAATCCTACAATTTATGGCAAAATTTCCTGCAAATGATAAGAGAGAACGAAAAAGACTAAAGCAGATCAAACGAGGAACAAACAAACAAAAAGAAAAGAAAAGAAAACCAGAAAATTACGATTTCTTGGCTTGCTCAAGAGAGCGAGCGTGGCCGGAGTGGAAGAGATCGTAGATCCCGTCGGCGTAGACTCGGACAGGGCGGTCCTCCTGAGACGACGTCGGATCGGCCATCGAATTGGAATTGGGATTGGAATTGGAATTGGAATGATTGCCGATAGAGGTACTAGAATCCTTGGCCTTCGCCTCTGCCATTCCCAATCCTATTGGCTATCTCTATTTCCTCTCTCTCTCTCTCTCTCTCTCTCTCTCTCTCTCTCTCTCTTGGTTCTTTTCAGTTCTTAGCTTTCTCACTTCTCTGATCATTTGTATTCCCACCTCAGAGTACGCGGTAATTCCGTTTTCCCATTTTTCATTTTACTTTAATTAACGAAAAAGAAATAGTAATGATAATACCGACAAACCGAATTTTTCTTGGGCCCTTCCTTGGAAGGCTAAACAGTCAATAGCTCGGAGAAAAAAATGATTCGGGTGCGTTTGTTTTGAGAGATTTGCATAGTTCAAACTTTAAATCATATTTTTAGTTTTCCTATAGTGTTTTTTTCTAATAAAAAAATTAAATTTTAAATATTAAAATTATAAATTATAATTTAAAATTATCCATCAGACATATTATATTTTTTAAGCATCCATTTGTAAAATGTATTTAAACTCATAATTTTAGTTGTATAATAGTATTTTATTCTCATAAAAAATTTAAATTTAAAAATTTATCACCAATAATTCTCTCAAAAAGTTGTTATCAATGAATCAAAATTACTAATTTAAACGTATAAACTAATCAAGCCCTAAGGTGTTTTTTCTTTAGGACTTTCTCTCAGGTAAAAAGGCCTACTGTAATATTAATTTCTAATCATTAAATCTGATTAAAATAATATAAAATTAAAAATAAATAATTTTTAATATAAATTTTATGATTAAAAAATAAATTACTACACATAATTTATTTTTTCAAATTCTATTAAAAAAACTTTTTTTTTAAAGAATTTTTAAAAACATTTATAAAAATAAATTATCCATAGATGTTTATTTTTCCACCCTTAAATATATACATAAAAACCGTCGGTTATTGATGAGGATGGTTTTTTTTTTTTTTCCCCATAAGTAAGCAGGATGTTGACAGATGATGTAATAGGCTCGAATTCTGAGCCACTGTTTTCCTTTCCACATTGGGAGACTTCTGGATGATCAGAGAAAATAAATAGAAAGCCAAAAAGAGTCTTTTTCCCATTCTTCAAACAAATAGAAAACCAATCATCTTTGGAGGGACAATTTTGACATTCAGAAGTCTGGTAAATTGTGTAAAGTTAGAGCATTTATTGGAAAATTTTACAATCATCTTGCAATTTTTCTCATGAATATATACTCATGTGATTATTTTGGATGTGGAGTCTTTTTTTTTTTTTTCTCAAGTCTCAGTTTCCCTTAAAAACTGCATGAGTAAACAAAATTTGATAAATGAAACTTTAAGAAATGCATGTGATTTTATTCTTTGAAAGCGTGAGAAAGATAAAAGAGATACAAGGTAGATCACAATATCATACTTGCCAAACTTGATTGGATTTAAAGTAATATATATATCAAAAGTTTATTAAATTAATTTAAAAATGAAAAACAACAAAAACTATATTCCATAAAAATAAAATAAATAAAAAGAATAAGTATTGGAATAATTAGTGGAATATTCTTGAAAATCCGGTACATGGACGAGGGATGTGTATTCGGACAACAACAAATCAGATTCCTGCACGCAAGATATCATATACATAACGCGTATATCAAGATTTATTCTTCCTAATTACCTTGTAGGTCCTTAATTTTCCAGGCTTAACTATTATTCTTCGAATCCTTTCTACTTTTTTCTTTTTTTTTTTTTTTTTTTTTTTTTTTTTTTTTTGGGGGGGGAAGGGAGCTTTCTTCTTTATTGTTATTACGTGATCTTCTACATATAGAGAATACGAGAATTGAATTTGATGGAGCTCCAAGCAACAACTATCATATCCATAATTTAAGGTTACTAATGTATTTACTCTAAAAACCATACAATTATGATTAACATAAACAATAAACCATGCGTTTCATCTGAAATGAGAAATTAATAAATGGAATAAATAACAAACTTTATTGCTAGTAAATGTATAACAACTTAAAATTTAATGCGTTAGGGCCTGATGGTGCCTACGATACAACAGTTTCCCTTCACAATTTATGGAGGCCCTTGCATCTCTTGTTATCCTTAGGCATTTCCAAGCTTCTATAGATATAGGCATCGTTCATTTCACCGATTCGAGTTTTGTTACAATAAAAAGCTCTCAGAAATAATCACATTTAACTTTTTTGCTACAGTAAAAAACTCTCGTATAAAGTCACATTTCAACTCGAATTAAAAACTTGAATCAGTAAATTAAACGGGCCTATAGCTTTCTAACAGTATACTAAACTTTTAGGATAGCAATCTTCTACTCCATGAGGCAAGTCGATTCACTTAAATTTTTTTTTTTTAAGTTTCTCGATCATCTGTTAAATTTTGTGTGTTCTAAATAATATCTAATAAATTATATTATAACACGTGAACCGATTGATGCACAATTAAAACATGAAAACAAAATATTTCAAATTGTTTAAAATGTAATTGATTAGACACCATTTAAGATACCAAAATGGACAAATAATTTGAGTCCCTCGTGAGGAAATTTATCGAGTATAGAGTTGCCTTGTGTGCTCTATCAGTGTGGACAACCCTGCCTCTTGAGTGGATGAAGGTGAAATTTTAATATATAAATGATGATATCTGGGGATGTACTCCTTTTATAATAGAATAAAATAATTAAATATGAGTAATGGTAAATAGAAGGCCATGTACTCTCTCTTATTTTTAGTCTTAGAAGTACTATGGGCCGAACCTATTTTGGTGTCTATAGTTTCAGGTCTATCAAATTGTCTAACTTAGTCATTTGGTCTCTCTAGTTGTTAAAATCTCAACGGAAGAGATACATGACTTTCTTCGTAACATCCGTATCCTAATATATAAAGTACCAATTTAGTTTTTAAAATAAATGACCGTTTAGTTCGCTAATTTAAATTTTTAATTCGAGTTGAGAAGTGACTTTATGTGAGAGCTTATGTGACTAATTCTGATAACTTCTTACTATAACAAAACTTGAATTCTAAACTCGAATCGGTAAAATGAACGAGACTATATAAAATACTAATTTAACTCTCACTAAACCATACATGGTCCTTATGTATCTTTTTTGTTGAAATTTTGACAGTTGAATAACAAAAGGACTAATATGAAATTATAACATTGAATCCGGAACTGTTTTATGACGTTTTAAAATTCGGAAACAAAATTGACCTATAATACAAACTAAAAATGAGATTAACCCTTTTCTTGCCTGCGCACGTATAGCGTCGTTTGAGAAGGACCATGATAAGTATATTGTCATTAATTTAATTATATTAACCTTCACCTCATATAGTGATCTTTTGATTAAGAGAATTAATTAATTAGGAATGTTAATCAGGAATAGCGCCGAAGGCAACTTTTTCACTATAACTTGTAAATAATATGTATAAGAGAATATATTCCAGTGATCACATTAAAATGAGAGAGAGAGAATGTAGGGAAAAGAGATTTAAGTAGCGTGGGGTAGTAACCATTGGTTGGCATCAATGAAAGACGCATTAATGAAAACAGAAGCTTCTGTGTCATTCAGTCTTTGTATATAAGGAGCCCTCATGCTCATATTAGCCCCCGGGCCTGAGCAGTCATATTCACCATAGAAAATAGTCCTGCAATTTAAAATTTTCTAAGTTTGACCATTAGCTTAATTAAAACCAAAAAAAAAAAAAAAATCAAACATCAAAAGCGGGTGACAAATATCATTATAATTTACATCAACGGGTTGTGCTGGAATTAGAACTAATTAATCAAAATTATCCATTATTAATTGATTAGAATTGGTCATAATTATATGAATTACGTACTGGTCTCGTGTTGGATCATTGAAATCATTCCAACCCTCAGGGGCAATGATATCGGACATTGTTGTGTGGGCAAAGACGACACGTGAAAATGGCCTCCAAGCTCGACCAAGCCAAACTCTACCAGTGCCTCCAATGGTGCAGTTGACGAATGCAAAGCCTGTGTTTTCGTCTTTTGAGGTTCTGCCGTGCGCGGTCACACATCCGTCTATAAACTTTGACCCCTCTGCCACCGGGTTTGCCATGGAAATCAGCACGCAGTCCTGCACGTATAAATATATTAAGTATATATATTACATATTGAGTAAAGTACTTGTACTGATCAAATTAATGATCATAAGTTTGATGAGGAAATTCAATGTCGAATTGAAATTATACCAAGGACAATTTATATTACTATTACACGTGATTTGTCCCCATTTATTTATTGATTGGTATGTTGGGCGGTCACATGGGTCCCATTTTGGACATTCCACGAACGTTTTATTCAAGTTTGCAACCGAAACCGGATTTTTATTGATGTTGTGTTACCTACAATCATTATCATCAGTATATAAAGAGCACAAATATTTCAAGTCCAACATCATTTAAAAAAAATCTCTGTAAATTAATCTGCATAATACAAAAAAAGAACTCAAATACTAGAAAAACTCAAACATAAAGCCGAATCCAAACCAAAAATTTAAATAGAAAGGAAAAAAATCCAACAAATCTCAAATCTAAAAAAAATATATATATAATACACAATCAAATCAACAACAATATCAATGAAAATCCTAATAGTGCTCGGATTAATTCCGATCTTCTGCTGCACGCAAAGAAAACCATCCATTTTAACGCCTATGCAGGACGAAAATACCATAAATGCTCATAATTTATTAATTCCTGTTTGGCAACTCTGTTTTTGAGTGAAAAACTAAAAAAATAATAATAATTCGAGTTACAACTTTATTTAAGTTCATGTTCTTTTAAGTTTGAACTCGAGTTAACCGAGTTTGGGACTAAAACTTGAGTTCAAGTTTCCCCTTCAACTCGAGTTCAGAAACTCAAACTCAAGTTAATGAACAATATTTTTTCTATTCTTAAAAATGCTATAACTTTTTCGTTTTAATTCTGATTGAGATGATTTTTTTTTATGCGTTGACAACGAAAAGACGAATAAAACTATACCCATATACCCTATTAAAATTTTTTATCAGCATTGAGTTTTTATTAAAATACTATCTAAATACAAATTCAAATTTTGACTTACTCAAACACAAACTCAAAAAAATTATTATCTCAAATCATAACTCAAATGTACACAACTAAACACAAACTCAAATTACAACTTCAACTCAAGTTATCACTCAAACTCAACTCAAAATCTATACTCAAATTCATGTAATTATTTGTGAGAACTTTTTACTGTAGCAAAACTCGAATTAAAAACTCGAATCAGCGAACTAAATGAGCCCGTACACATAACTCAAAAATGTTAAGAGAACATGCCCTTAGAAAAGTTCCGGAAACAATTTGTCACAAATTAAAAGTTCAAAGACCTCGGCTACTGTAACACCGCTACAGTGCCTTTCAACCAAAATGCACGTTTGGATCCCCTACTTACGTTTTTTTTTTTTTTTTCCTTTTCCTGTTAAAATATTTCTTTTTTTTTTTTTTTTGGCTTTTCAACTTTTTTTCTTCCTTTCTTCCCGAATTTTTTTATTAGTTTTTTCTCTCTCATTTACCCAATTAAAATATTATATTTTCATAAGATGTGATCCTACTTCAAATATTTCTTTCCAATGTGTTCTACACTATTGGAATGCCAGAAGTTATTCTCATAAATTTTTTTAATTATCCCATTAAAATAAATTTCTACAAACATACCCCTCTAAAATTAATATTTTTCGTTCTTATCTTTTTTTTAAAACTTTTTTGTCCTCTCATTTACCCCAATTAAAATAATTTTTGTCAAATACGGTCGTACTTAGATGTTTCTTTTTACTGGTGCTATAAACAATTGTTACACAAAAGAATATTTTCACAGTTTTTTTCCTAAATCATCCCACTAAAAGAAATTTTTATAAATACGCCCCTACTTAATTTTTTTTCTATTTCATGGACTTCTCAACCACTATTTTTTTATAAATATTATTTTTCTAATTTGCTCTGTTGCATTATTTTTTTTCTAATGTATCCCTACACAATGATTATTTTTGGTCCTATAAAATATTACTATATCAAAAGTGATTTTTTAAAATACTTTTTTCTTGTTGCTCATTAAAGTAAATTTTTTTTTGAATATATCCCCACTTAAACAATTTTTTTTTCTCTAATGAATAGAAGTGTCAGTGCTTTCGAATAAAACAATTCATTTTAGCCGAAATTAAATTGGTTTGTTTCTTCAATCCATCTTTCATCTTTTATTTCTTTTTAGGTCCCTTCTTGCTTTCATGCTTTTTCTTTTAGTCCTTCCTCTCTTTTGTCTTTTCATTTTTGATCCACCCCTTTTACATCTTTTTTTTTTTTTTTTGGGTTTTACCCTAACATCTTATCTATTTTTAAATATGCTTCTTTAAACTATTTATTAAGATCTATCTCATTGTGTATTGATGGTATCCCTATCTAAATATATATATTTTTTTCATATGCTCCTCTAAACTATTATTACATCAGAAGTGACCTTGTCATTTTTTTTTTTTTACAATTTCTCCACTAAAATAATTTTTCTTAAATATATCACTAATCCAACATCTTTTTCATGCATCCGTAGTAAATTTTTCTCAAATGTGTCTTTGTTGAAAGATCTCTCAAGAGTGTTTTCTAAATATTTTATAGTTTAATTTAATCTCGTTACTTTGTTCTTTAAATCTCCCCTAATGCCATAATTAAATTCAACAAACACATTCACACATGCACGCACGTGCTTTTCAACTAATTTATTATATAAATAAATCAATGAACGTGCATATTATCATGTACAGAGATTCTTAGGAATATTCTGGAATATCATCAAGTACCAGTAGAAATGTATTGGCCTTCTAATTATATAAGGTACGTACTTAGTTTAAAGCATACAATTAGATTAATACTTGCTAATCAACGAAAGAAATATTGTTGGGACTAAGAAAAAATATTATTTTAAATAGGCTATTTATTCATCGATAAATGAATAATTTATTAATTTATCGGTAAAGAATAATTTATTAATTTACGAAATGTTTTATGTTTTAATTACTTTTATACATGTACCTTTTCTTTTTACTAAGATTCATGCATGAGTTATAAATAATAAAAATAATAGTATGTGGTCCAAAATTAATGTGTGTACATAGAGAATTGTAAAAGTTATCATGTACATTATGAAAAAAAATTAATTATTGTTATGTACAAGCATATCAACCCAAAATTAATGTATATTATACCTGCATTTAACATGAAGGTTAATAAGTATTTGGGCATACAATAAATGTATTTTTCAAATTCAATACCGTAAAAGATGAAATGTTTCAAGTACATAGTAGAACATCAACTCTATAAATAGTCATTAGATTTTTTTTTATATACTACAAATCGTTAAAATTTTCATATTTTTTCTTCATGGCTTCTTATTTGAAAGGAGTAAAAACACTACATTGACCGATGAGATAAAGAGAGCATTGTGTGAGTATAAAAATGAGCATCCCTCTTCAAGTCAAAAAGATTTGCAACAATGGCTCCAACAAACTCTTTGATATTATGATTTATATACGTTTAAATACATATTTTGTAAAAGAGTTGAATTGAGAAAATAAAAGCTGTCAAGAAAAACTCTTTAATATTATGAATTATATATATATATATATATATTTTCAATTATTAATTTATATTTTTCGATGGGTCTTAAAGTATTTAAAAAAATTATTATTTTATGCATTTAGCGAGATTATTAATTTAGTACACTTACCTGAGTTAGGACTGAAAGTTTTTATTATTTAAACGAGGTTATTAGTTTATCGAACAATTATTTATCGAGGTTTTACTGTATATATAGATTAAACAAATTATATAGGGCGATAATTAGAGAGCAATCAATAATTTGAAAAAGGGAATCCCAAAAAAATATATGAAACAAATAAAACAAAAATTAATAATTACCTCATACAAGGACCTTGCGTTTCCAAAGATGAAATCAATAGAGCCTTGGATGTAGCAATCTTTGAAGTAATGCCGCCCCTTATCATCATGAAGAGTGTCTTGTGCTCCAAAGAATCCACAACCCCAGAACGCAGCTTGGTCTCCTGACACCCTCATTGCTACTCCTTGTGCTCCAACATCTCCAGGCTTCGGAATAGGAGCTACATTCTAATATATATACATATATATATATATATATATAGCACCAATCAATTACATAACTATTAATTTATTGAGTGTATGCATGTATTAGTGTGTAAATAATATATGTTCTTAATTAGATTATAGCATAAGAAAACAAAGGTATTTTTTAAAAAATAAAAAGAGTGATGTCAACCCTCCCGAGGTCTAATAACAAAACCAAAAAAACCTATTTAATTTTACTCAAATAATGGACCTGGTTTTCACTCATGCCACCGTACATACACTCAAAACCGTACAACACGTTGGTCGAGTAAGGGCCTTAAAATGAGGTTGTGTAGTATTAAATTCTAAACACATCATGAAAAAAAAAAAAAAAAAAAAAAAAAAAAAAAATTTTTACCCCTGATCCAACCCATTCGGGGATGATCCAACCCATTCGTGGTAATAAGGGTAATGTTTATGTGTAGAGAATTTTAGTTTCTAAATTCTAAGCTATATCTCACCATGAAGCTTATGTTCTGGGCGATAAAATTGTCAGAGAAAACTTGAACGGAGCCACTAAAGAACGTTCCACGCGATGAGTTCGCTGTGTCGTTCCAGACAATTGCCGTCGAAGTATAGCCTTGTCCTTGAAACGTTATGTTCGGTTTGGTTCTCGGAATCGTCACTTTCTCACTATTATAAATATTAAAACACAACAAGATAATGTGAAGTAGGTAAATTCCAATCTAAAGTGAAACAGATCATACATGCAAGTTAATTATATTTAAGTAGTACTTACTAGTAAAGGCCAGAATTAATCCATATTATGGTTCTTTTCTGGCTAGGAGGAGTGGTAGGAACTGCATCTATAGCGCCTTGAACTGTGGTGAAATTGCAACATCCGTTTCGATCCACGCAAAGAATAGAGGTTGTGTTAGCATCTACAGAAGGAAATTGAGGTTGAAAATCGTCGCAGATCGACGAGTCTTTGCCCTTGTCTGGACGTTTTTTGCGTTGGTGATCATGATTATGGTGCCTGCTAATTGTGTATGAGATAAGAGGTGAAATAATTGGTGATGATAATAAGCTGGTTAGAGAAAGATTAACAAAGTCTTTGAAGGATGATGGTAATATTGGGCTACTTATGAGATGGGACATGGACGCCAAAAGTACCGCAAAGATTGCAACAAGCAAAGTTAGACATTTGATTTTGGGACTCATTATTTAATTTATTTAAAAAAAAAATTTTGATTATAATAAGTGGAAAAAGGATCACAAGATGTAGAGGGCAAGAGAAAATACTTGGACTGAGACATTATGTTGTGACCATAAATTTATAAGCACATGCACTTGAAGTGAAAGGGTCTGGTAACATGTCTTGCAAATTACCCTGTCCCTTTGTAGAATTCCTTTTAAGAATTTCTGACGTACCAAACTTAAAATCGGTGGTGTGTGTGTGTATATGCTTTAATTTTATTTTTCTTTTTCATTAGTAATGCTTAAATAGATTCAGTTCAAACAAATTAATCTAGCCAATTCTGAAAGAAATTCCTAGCTTAAATCTTACAAAAGTGCCTTTTCCAATTTGTTTAATTGCATGCTTGAAAACCCCCCAGCCACTAGTTAATGATTAGAGCAAAAATATACTCTTATCTTTATTTATTCAGCGTTTAATCCAAAGGCTAAATAATTGATTTGTTTAACTTATCCGTATGAATAGACATTATATATTTCCACATCAAATTATCAGGAAATTTGAGTGATCAGAGAGGCAGTTCCTTCTCCATCCTTAAAACCATAATAAGTATTGAGCATTTGTGGACCAACAAATTAAACAAGCCTTAATCTACACAACTAAATCTATTTCAAAGGGTTGAAAGTGATATCCTAACATTTTCAGTTAATTATAACTTATTTAGTTGGAGAATTCAAACCATGATTTGAATTATAGTTCATAGTTCGCTACAGTATTTTTTCTCACAAAAAATACACGTAAACCGAAAATAATTCTAATCACATGATTCTAATCCATAAATTAAACGTCTTCTTATAGTTTCTTTTTCTATTTGTCATTTTCATTTGGGGTCTTTCTAGCTAACGGTACATTACTTATTTTCTGTTTGTGGTTTCATTCTAAGCAAGGCAAAACATTTACAAACTACAAAGTCACCTTGCGTTTTAAGTAAGAGACATGTTTCAAGTCTCCGCTGCTCACACTATAAAAGGATATATTTTGTATTTCTATACAAAGAAAAAGTTTCAGTTTAATTAATAATGACTAGCAGTTCTACTTCTCCGTATACAACATATATATATATATATAGACACATACACACACACATATAATATATATATTTCATTAAAAAAACACATATATGTGTAAGCCGCTGTTATCTTTCATAAATGTTAGGGGTGGCAATTCATGTTAACAGGTTGTGTTCGTGTCGTGTTGAACTCCTCAGTTGACACGAATAGGTCTGACATGAACACAACCCGTTTATTAATCGTGTCAAAATTCTAAACCCAAACACGACTTGTTTATTAGCGGGGTGACACGACACGATTAACCCGTTTATTAAACAGGTCGTAAACGTGTCGGGTCAACACGTTTACGAAACAGGTCATAAACGGGTCGTGTCAACCCGTTAATTACCTGTCAACACGTTTATGACCTGATTATTATCAACACGTTTGAACCTATATCATAACCTATTTCAGAACCTATTTTTGAATATGTTTCTCAACCTGTTTAACATGATGTAGAGACATGACATAATCTAAGTTCAAAAGTAAAACAAACACATTAGAGTCTCTAACAAATTAAAAAACAAACACATAAAAGTCTCACAATTTAGAAAACAAACATACATGATTAATAATTAAATATTTAAATAATTTGCTGCAGTGGGGGGACTCTAAGTGCATCATTACGTTTAGGAGAAGTTGATCCCTGTGAGAAAGGCTCATCTTCTTTCAATGAAAAGTTGAAGATATCTTGTGTAAGATCCTCCACCTCTTCATTGAAATCTTATTAAATGTCCTTGAGTAATTTCCTTGACTACTGCCGGAGAAATATGAGGAGATTGTACGACCTACCTAATCATTTTGACATATTTGATCTTAAATGTTTAGGTCTAATGATGTTAATTTGTAGAATACTCCATATATAGAAATACATGCAAATTAATATTTTACTAGAGATCGGAGTTTTTTAAACCTACCCCGTTTGGCATATCAGATAAATAAAGCATGAGATCTGGGTAACTAATTTCATTCCCATGTTTAGTAAAAAAAGAAGGAATGACGTCTAATATATACCAAATTACTTCTATTCTCATCTTTGTGAGATCACATATTCCTTACAAGAGGGTAAAAAAGTAATCCCACTATAAATTCCAATCTTTTAAATTTTTAACAAATTCTTATATCTAAAATAATTATTTTTTTTGTTTGAGAATTCATTATTTCAAATCTGATTTATTATTATTTTCAATTTGTATTAAAAGATAATATATAATTTTGTTTTAGTGGATCTCAATATCGGTGTTTTTTTTTTATGGATTGTCATTTCAAGTATTGTTCCCATTGTCAAATAATAAATATTCTTTTTTAGGCAGTCTACGAGCTGTTGCTCAATCAATTAGTTATGAAATGTCATTAACTTTATGTGTGTTATCAATATTTCTACGTGTGATTTGTTAAGACATAAATTGTTCTCTATTTCTTCTTTTCTAAGAAAAGGGCGGAATGAATTGAATAAATATCTTCCTATTTTATTCATTATTTAGATGGATGAACTAAATCATATAGCTATATGAGTGAAAGAAAACAACTTATAGAATATATAAATAAGCAGTAAAAAAATTGAATCTCATTTTCTATGTATATAGAGTTGAGCGGAAATAAATATAAGTATAAGAAAACGTTTGCCCACAATGAGGTGATTAATCATCTTGATTTGAAGCGGGTCAAAGGATTAACCATATTGAGTTTTCACTATTATTTATATATATTCTCATACATTACCTTAACGGATGATTGAACAAAAACGAGTGGATGGTTAGAAATACCAAGATACACAAAAAATTAGTAATGGAGATTAAAATAATATTTCTGCATAATATACAAATAATATTAATATTTACTATTCAAATTTTTTTAGTAAATATTATATAATTCAATTCAACACTTCACCTAACAGGATAAAGTATATATCATCTTGCCTTGAAAAAAGTATACAAAATCTCAATCCGACATAAATTGCTCTTTTCAAATAATATCAGATATTTGAACTATTACTGATTCTTCTTATAAAAAATAAATAAATTTATAAATATATACTTGAATAATTTTTTTTTTAATATTTTAGAGTGGGGAGATTTGGATTCTATAGCTCAAGATAAAGTCAAGTCAGAATCTATCACTAAGTTACGCTTGCAATAAAAAGAAGAAGAAAAACAATATACAAATTTAACACGACCTTAAGAAACATTTGTTCTTCCTTTTTTCTAGTCAACTTTAACAAACAAGGATCCAAAGTGATTTTTGTTAGAATTACTTGGAAAAATGGAGCCAGCTTGTTAATTCAATTCGTTATGTGTTTCATATCACATGGTAATAGGAGATTCAAATAAGAGCATTATGTTTAATATTTCTCCTTTTAAAGTCCTAACCACGTCCATAGTATCTATTTAATATGAGAATTCTCAAGGTTTGAGCTGTGATTTAAGTTCAGACCAGTGTCTATTTACAAAAAGTAAAAAGTAGTTTGGACTCAGTCTAACAAAATCAATGTTTGATTTAAAAAGAAAGATTTAATGTTTAAACATTTACAAGGCCAAAACTCTTTTGAAAGCAGACTATTGAAGAATGGGATAAGAAATCCTACTTCTCAAGCACCAATCTGTGGCTAGCGTTGCACTATTCTAGCTTTTGTTTCCTCAAAGCCTTCAATTCAACTCCTTAGCTAGCATTGATACAAAAAACACTTTTGGATCCAATTTTCATTCCTAAAGCAATTCAATCTCAAGTACACACTTCAATTTCCTATTAGTGTGTCATAATTCAATTACCGGTTTCATAAGTTATTTCATGTTTCAAATCATCATTCTAAGGGTTTTTAATCTCAAAACATGAATTAAAGATGTTTATCCATCTACTTTAGACCCCTAAATGAAGCTGATTTGCGTTCTCTTCACAAATCTAGGTCAAAAAGGGTTTTTTAACAAAATAGGGTCAAACCCCGTGTACACTGGTCGACCGGTGATAGAGAAGTTATTCTCCACTGGTCGGCTGGTGGAGAAGGAACTGGTTAACCAGTGGAAGCAACACAGGATCGCCGACATGGCCGATCCGAAGAAAATCCAAACAAAACCTGCAAATCTGAGCTCAAATCCGTAATATTTCAAGGGAAAACAACCAAATCCAAGTTCTAGTTACTAAATTAAGTCCAAAGAACCAATTTTCCCCAATTTCTACAGGGATTTAACTCAAAATCCATGAAAATATATTTTGAACCAAAAATAAGTTTTCTAACAGAACAATTCAAGATTCAAGAGAAGTTTTCCAGAAATTTTACCTCAAATCCTTCTCTTGACGTTCAAAACTCCTTGAAATTCTTCTTTGGTTCGAAATCTGATTGATTTGGTGAAGATTTGAATGGGGGAGAGAGATGAACGAACAAGAGAGAAAGTGAGAGTGAAAATGACAATGAAAGAGAGAGAGAGAGAGAGAGAGTGCACGGGAAAAAGAAAGAAAATGAAGAAAAAGAAAAAGAAAAAGAAAAAGAAAAGGGGATAAACATCAAAGATATTTAAGATGACAGTCTAGAAAATGTGTCTACACACACTTCTGGAGTGAAAATATAATTACTAAAAATATTTAAATTCCTTAGAAATGTTTAAATTTACACGTCAGAAACATTTATTAAACATAATTATTTAATTAAATCAGATTAGGCACACTAATAACTCTTAATTATCTTAATTAATCTCGTTTAATTCTTTGAGGTGTTACAAAAGTGTTCCATAATATCCTCTTCGTTAGCCGCTCTTACTGCGGATGATCCAGAACTAGCAGACTGCTTCTGGATCTGTGATTCTCTTTCTCCCTCTATCCAATGCTACAAATATTATAAGAAAAATAATTAAATACATAATGCGATTTAAATAAAAAAATATAATTAAACATTACGAGTATACTTACAAAAGTCTGCTCAACTT